ATTGAACAAATCTAAGGATACTCAGGCTATCTATACACATTACAACAACATTGTAATCTGTTACACAGTGTATTACTTGTACTAGAACAAGGATATCCAGATATTACAAAAGTAAGCAACTTTTGTAATATTATACTAAACAAAGTTAACAAGCTATAAAAAGTGGCTTTGTATCAGATCAAGGAAAGGATTAGAACATTACACATACAACAACTGGTACTAGGCACAGGCAGAAGCCTATTATTATACAGCCCTCTATTATCCAATCCCTCAACCATTCTCATATTCTTACTACTTGTAGGAACACTCCTTGTTATATATACTTGGAGTAAGAGGAAGAGTCAATTAGGGAACAGTACAAGATTGGTTTAAAGAAGAGGTTCACACTCTAGCCACTCCTATTCAAATAAATTGGGGACCTATTATAGCCTTTGGATTATAAGGACAAAGACTTGGATACAACAATTCTTAGGTCTTAACAGAATAATCAGGTCTACTCAAAGTCAAGACATATATTATAGAATTATACAAGGGGAAATCACATACTTGTGTAGTCTTATACAATCAGAACAACAAGGAGAAAAGCTAGAGTAGATACAATCAGATCTAGATACACAAGCATTAAATATCTTTAATATTCATACAAAGCTACAGGAAATCTTGGACAAAATACAGGACCTTACTAGCAGAGTACAAGAAGTACAGGTTGAATCAGGAATATCACAAGTATACCTGAATAGGTTAGCACAGTCACAATACAACCTAACTACTATATTATAAAGAATTAGTAGAGAGGAGCAACAAAGTGACAGGAGAGAAGGAAGTACTTCTAATACTCAATACCTCTGGAGACAAGAACACTTTACTCAGGAAAACACAGTCTAAGAAAATTAAGAAAGTGAACTATCAAGTTCTTCAGCTGAAGAAGAAGAGCTTGTTAACACAATACAGGGAGGAATCCAAACATTTTAAGACTACAGTGGAATTGAAACACAACATTCAGATAGTCTACCAGGATCCCTTAGAAGCCTCTAAGGTCAGTCAGAAATTATTACTCAGGAAGGCTAGACAGCTGAAGAAACTGAACAGTCTATGTTACTAGATACCTTTACAGTAGAAGGCACATTAACATTAGATTATAATTGGTTGTATCAGACCTATCAAAGTAGTACTAGTTTAGAGTCAAGTTCATCAGACTCTTATACACTAAATTCAGAATCTAGTAACTAGAAAAAGAGTAATATGGAGGGAACAAGGAAAATCAACCTGAAACTGCCAAAGTTTTCAGGACAGAAAGGGGAAGATCTAGAAGTGTTTAAAACAAATCTGACAATACACTT